TGACCGTATCTAACAGGTAAATATCTCCATTGCCTGAGGGAGTGTGAGAGAATTGGTGCGAAGAAGAACTGTATTAATTATTTCTAAGATAAAGGAGCTGAATAGTTACCGCCGGGTTCATGAAGTAGATTTTTATTAATTCTTTTTATCCATACAACAAATGCTCAGCCAAGAAAGGCCTCGCTTTTTTCTTCTCTGTGCTTATCACTAGCATCAGTGTGTGCTCATTAGTTCCCGTTTTCAAATAAAAAATGGAAGGGATAATTATTCAGTCACTGACATATCTGATTAACTTTGCTCGTGATGAATTGTTATTTTTTATTCACTGCTAACGAAGATTTTACGGTCTAGGTACCTGCTGCTGTTCAAATGGGGCGCGTAAGTATTATTCAACATTAGTGATTCGTTCAACAATTTTCCATAATATTCTTATAACGGTGAACTTTAAACCATCACAAATATATTTTATATCATATGACTAAGAGGCCTGTCCTTGCAGTGTGGCCCAGAAGGTACAACCCTTCAGATTAACGCTGGACTCATTCAATAAATATTAAAGGGCCAGTCTAATATTAAGAGGGATGTTTACGAATTTAACTTTAGAACGCCAATTTCATAATTGCAAAGAAGGTTTATTTTGTTAAACGTTTTGGTTAAAATTTTATATTGCCGTTTTTTTCCAGCATGCACCACTCCGAGAGGAACCTCCGAAAGATCACTTTATACTGGCTGTGGTGTCCGTATTCTTTTGTCCTTTGATTGGTGTGCTTGCTGTCTGCATGTCACGTTTGGTAAGTTGAACCGTAACTAGGCGTTAGTTCACCTGACGCAGAGCAAGTTTTTATCGAGTCAGCTCTGTTGTTTTAAGCCGGTCTCCAGTATGCCAGGCCATGGGTTTTTTAGTCCCACTCAGTGAATTGGTAGTTATATTATTTCGACAGAAGTGTTCTCTTGGTCACAGATTTAGGTTGTCCTTTGAATCAATTTCTTATATCCTAATTACCCTGTTTTGGAGCTGCGGCTCTACAAGGAAGATCATATTAATTTAACGGAAGGATTATGATGTGTCCTTGGGAACTAAGAATGACAATTTTTGGTGAAATCGTGGAGGAAAACTGCTTTGGATTCCCAACAGAAAGTCTTTTTCAAGCTATAGAAACCGACAATAGCGTCGACGACTATACACGATCGCGAGTCAGTTTCGCTGGCAAATCGGTTTATGTTCAGGTTCCCCGCGTGATAACTTCATAATTACAATTTTAAGTCTTTTGCCGGATTGAACTTTTTTATGAATTATGAGCATACCAATCTGCAAATAATGTTTCTCAGTTTATCTCTTACAATCATTTCTTAATCTGATCAATAATTTCATATGTTTTCTTTCTTTTTTTCAGACTAATTTGCGATACGAAGAAGACGACATAAAAAGAGCACAGGATGCTTCTAAGGACGCGTGGTTCTCAGCATTTCTTGCCATTTTCCTCGGAGTTAGCATCGTCTTCTTTTTTATCTTCATTGAAGCTATTGTACCAAGTTTTGCTTAGAAATTATGGTACACTTCAATTTGATGATTTTCAAGGTCTTTTTAGAATGGAACGTCACGAAAAATTTATAGGTCTAATTCGAACTTACAGTCGAATAATTGGTGAGGGCGTGGAAAGTATGTATATGTAAATGATAAAAACCTAAAAATGTATTCGTGTTATTACAGTAATATGCGATTAATCAGAGCCAATTCGACTTCAGCGCAAAATGTATGACGAAATGATTTTATTAGATTTCTTTCTGTGATCAGCCTCGAAAGACTATTCAATTGTATCGTTACTTTCCAATAAACATATCCAGTGGCACTTGAAGAAGTTAAAGGCAATCTATTTTTCCAGTTTTTTAATTCCTCTCAAGCCCAGGTTTAATTGCCGCGAAAGAAACACGCAAACTTTGCGGTATAGCTGTATTATGCGGGTTTGCTATTTTTTTGTGTGATTTGCGGAAACAATATTTCTGTCGTTCTATTTAACTGCTATTTTTCCTTGGAAACGGTTTTACTGAGTTGAGTTAAAAAGGAGAACATTTTAAAACAAGTCTAACATAGAGGAAACTTCAAGATTTTTAGTTTTAGTTACTGGTTGTGTTACACAGAAGTATACACAGATATTTCGAGTAAGATCGATTACGAAGATCATATTAGATATGATCAATATATAAAGTTCATATATTTTGAACTGCGGTTATAGATACGTATGATGCACGATCCTCGCGGTAGAGAGCGCTATTTATGTAATAGCGAAAATCAGACCTGAAAATAAAATCAGGCCTGTACGGGATTCGAAACACTGACCTCTGCGATACTAGTGCAGCGCTCTACTAATTGAGCTAACAAGCCAACTGGGAGCAGGCCGTTAAGTTGATTCGTAATAAATCCGTGATGACAAATCAGATATGATCAATATATGAAGTTCATATATTTTGAACTGCGGTTATGGATACGTACGATGCACGATCCTCGCAGTAGAGAGCGCTATTTATGCAATAGCGAAAATCAGACCTGAAAATAAAATCAGGCCTGTACGGGATTCGAACCACTGACCTCTGCGATACTAGTGCAGCGCTCTACCAATTGAGCTAACAAGCCTGATTTTCACTATTGCTCAAATNAATCAACTTAACGGCCTGCTCCCAGTTGGCTTGTTAGCTCAATTGGTAGAGCGCTGCACTAGTATCGCAGAGGTCAGTGGTTCGAATCCCGTACAGGCCTGATTTTTTTCAGGTCTGATTTTCGCTATTGCATAAATAGCGCTCTCTACTGCGAGGATCGTGCATCATACGTATCTATAACCGCAGTTCAAAATATATGAACTTTATATATTGATCATATCTGATTTATCATCACAAGTTTATTACGAATCACCTAAACGGCCTGCTACCAGTTGGCTTGTTATCTCAATTGGTGGAGCGCTGCACTAGTATCGCAGAGGTCAGTGGTTCGAATCCCGTACAGGCCTGATTTTTTTCAGGTCTGATTTTCGCTATTGCATAAATAGCGCTCTCTACTGCGAGGATCGTGCATCATACGTATGAAGATCACATTGTAACACTCTATTCGCCTGCTCTGTTTTTCACATGCCATTAAAATTTCTATATACTATTTATGAAGTAATGGCAATTTTATTTCGAGTTTCATAAATCGTTCCAGTGTCACTTTCTACTATCTTCTGGACGATAGAGTTGTCTCCAAAAAGAAAGGGATTTTGAAGGACCAAATTCTAATCAAATAGGGTCAAGTCGAAAGATTTTTTGCCTCATGTGGCACAAGTTATTTGTCATTGATTAAATTTTTTACAAAGTATCGTTATAGCGATCATGAATCAGAAACAGGCTTTGCCCCCTAAAACTAAAGCCTGGTAGAATGATATTAGCGGTCTTTACGAATGTTAAAGGAAACTTACGTAGTGGGCAATCCCGATCTGGCATGGCTGTGACACGGAAGCCCGTTTCTCCATATCCCCACCAGCAGCCCTCCAACTACGATGATGGATATCTATCTCATGATCACTCCACTTATTCTTATGTGGAAAAGTTTATTTAATTTTAACAAACAAGGAAACCATACAACTAGGTGAAAACAAGCTCCTGAGTTTGAATAACCAATTTCATAGATTTTTTAGTTCTTGGTTAGGCGAAAACTTGTCATGCATGAGGAGAAACGTTGCCTGCTTTTGGTCGTACTTAGATGACGATGCTCTGTTGTCTAACAGTTTGTCCATTATTGTGCTCTTAGCTACCATTATTGCTTTCTGATCTGTATACGATTATCTGGTAATCCGGCCAATATAAAAGTTTTAGCGAAGTCAATTAACGCATGGAAATACAAAAAAAAGCTTCTGTAAAACTTTAAAACGCGTTACAATACTAAGTGATATTACTGATTTAATGTTGGTAACGCAGAAATACAAATTTCAACCTCGCTATCTTTTAGTTTGTGACAGCATAAAGAGAGACCAGGAAACTCACTTTTTGAAATATCCCTGTTTATTTAAATTTTCAAGGTTGGAGTCGGTTCAGTTCTTGACACTGCATGTCCCTAAATGACAGTGGTTTTCATGAACAACCTGTGTTTTCGTGGCAGTTTTATCAACATTTGTAAAAAAAAAAAAAAAAAGAATATTGGCATTATTACAGAAAGCAATCAAACAGTCATAAATAATTAAAACATCACAACTCGAGGGAACACTTCGTGCCCATTAAACAAGATCAAAACGAAAGTCAGAAAACGTTGACATACAGGTGATTTAACAGTAACAAACTCTGGACAATCATCCTTCACTTTCATTTGGCTTGGTACCTTAAAAAAAGATAACAGAGTAATACATTTTACGGCATTTTGTCGGTTACGTGGTAACGTTTTTTAAGCTGATTACAGGTTCGTTCATAATTGAAGAGTTTCACTCAATGAGCTGTAATGCAAATTTTGCTTTAAATACCGCTTTGACCATAGGCTGATACGCAAACGAAAAGGTGCAAAAATCACTAGCTTGACCGTATTACTTGAGCAAGAAAGATTTTGAACAAGAACCTCAGTAACAGAACTTTATATTCACAAAAGGTAAGGATATCTCTGGTCTTGACCTTATGACGATGAAGGCCGCTGCTTATAATACACAGCTACACACCGTCCATCATTTTCGTTTTCATTTTAAGCGAATGATCACACAGTTTACAGTGACCTCCTGGTTTCAGGCCATTTAGTGCGTTTTTTGTCTTCACTATAGAGAAATACACAAATTATTGAACGCAGTTGAATGGTTCAAAATCCATAGGATTCCAGGAATCAATTTTCTTAATCCCTTTTTATCCTACGCAGGGCAAAGAGCGTTACTTATAATGAAAAATAACCCCTAAGCTCTCCCGGAAATGTCAAATCTTTTCTCATTGGAACGTCTCCTCTTTAAAACGACTCGGACGACGTTTGCAGTTTTTTTCATTTCTTGACATTCTTTGCATAACAACAACCCTTTTATAAAAGCAAAGACAACTAAAAAAAAAAACAAAGCGTTGTTTGTTTTTCCTTTCTACCGTTTTTAGGTAAGAAATTGAGCACTGTTTATGTATTTATCCAGTCGGACGCAAAATAAGGACTAGGTTCGTGATTTCTTTTCGTTATCTTTGGCTTTGTGCAATATTTATAGAAAAAAATTTTATTGAAATGTGTTTGGCTCTAATTGCTGCTTGAGTCCGTTTGAAAACCTTAATTATACTCAGTGAAAAGTGAAAACTTCAAAAAACGACAACTCGGTCAAAAAATGAAATATATTGTCTACTGACTGGCTCTTCTATTCAAGTAGAATTATTAGAAGGCAGCAGTTTATTATTTTCAAGCTAAGTTTGTAACACCTTCCTTGTTACTTCTTAATTTGTTTTTAGCTATCATAGTTGTAAACGAATGTCCAGTTTCGTCACTAGATGCTCTATTCTATCAATGCGTGCACCAAGGTAACCAACATTTTAAGAAATTCTGACATCCACAGTTATAATACATGAAGAAAGATTTCCGCCTTACTCTTGTTAAAAGAAATTATGGAAAACAAAGACTTTTATGCATAAGCGCAAAAGAATGGCACTTCCTTAAAAAAATCGACTCTTTCCTCGCCTTTTTAAGCAGAGTGCAAAACTATATATTTATTTAAGTCAGTTTCGAGATATTTTAGCCCCTACAATTAGTTTTTTATCGATTGTGTAATCAAGCAACTTTTATGAACATTTTTAGAGTATTCTATAGTCAGTTCATGTTCTAACTTGCTTTTTTACCTATGATGATTCAGTGTTATTTTATTTTACAGGGCCTCACAGAATACCACTTTTCAGTGACCTCCTATAGAAAGATTGTTCTAATTAATATTTTATTACAAATTCAGTTCTAGTTTTATTCATGATTATTTTAAAGATGACGAAAGAACTTCGTTTCATTGCTGTGTTTATGACATCCTTGGTCACCTTATTTACAACGGGTGGTAAGAGTTTCATGACTTTATGAATACGATTCTCTTCACTTGCTTTAATGGTATTTTCTTGAAAGCATTTCTAATTCAGTGATCGGATTATATTTTAATACTCCTGCACTTAGTGTCCGATTGAAAAAATATCTTCCGGGGGTACCGGCTTGATTGATTGGCTTGAAAACGATTTAATCGCGATTAGGGGTATTTTTTCCTGTTTCCCAGACATGACAGGCAAGAAGATATGGCTTCAGTGGAAACCCTCTAATGTACCGTCGGATGAACAAAGTCTTGTTCACTAATGCCGCCTTTAATTTGGGTGGTCATTTGACGATTTGCAGGGATCGAATGTTTATCTGCTCTTGCTATCATGACCATGATTTGTCGCTAAATATTTTTATTACACGACTTGGGCAGTCAGAGGGCCAATAACTAAAATCAACCAATCCAAATGCTCTATTGCCAGTCAATATTCTCTAAGTATTGGACCGGGCACTGTCTCGAATGGTCCCGAATGATACCGCACTTGTGTCTCTTTGAACTTCAGTCGTGTAATTAATCTCTTATTAACCAAGCTTGCTCGGGACCGTACTGGAACAATATCGGCCCTCGGTCTTTTTTGTAGGACCGTCGCTGCGCTCGGTCCGTACTGTCAAGACCTCGGGCCGATATTCTCCCAGTACGGCCCTCGCGCTTGGTTAATAAGATATATGTCGTCACCCTTATCTTGATATTCGTTTTAATGTCTCTGAAAAGTCAACCCTTCCTGTGACGTTCAGCTTCAGCTTTAAAGTTTTGAGCGTGGATAAAAAAAGTCAAATTTCAAAGCTTACTAGTTTAAACAATGAAATCATACACCTACTTTATATTTATTTATTGGCAGAGGCCTCCTTAGGTGACGAGCAGAGGCTGATTCATGACCTGTTTCAAAACTACAGCAAGTTCTCTCGTCCAGTGCTGAAAAAAAATGATCAAGTTGTGGTCACTTTCAGGGCGAAACTCAAGCAAATAATCGACTTGGTGAGTGTGAGTTAGTCGTAAAGAGATTACGTGAACTGTGTGCGATGACTATATCTGACTTTAGTATATGCACACTCAGTGATCTTGGCGTTTCAAGCAATCTGATTGGTTCGCCATCTCGGGCTAATCAACAATGTACACCTCCGAGCGAGTGGATAATGTGAAAAACAAAATAGCGGGCGTAAACTCGCGTTTCGCTAAAGTTTCAGAAGCAGAAATTGCTTTTAAATGGTTTCCTTTTAATTTTGTCGAGATCACTGCGTGTGTATATACTAAAACAATTATTCTTTTCAATCTCGGTGAATAGTGGCTTTCGGTAAATATTTAGCCACTATTCACCTCGATTTCAAAGAATAATTGTTAAATAGAGGATAATCACCGTAAAGAACCGGTCATTATCTATCACTGAGAGTTTTGAGGCGGAGGGGTGGGTCAGAGGATTTTGATTGATCATAAAAATTTACCTGATCCCCCAAAAGGCTCTGCCGGTGNTCGCCTTCCCCCCATCCCCCAGGTGATACATGTAAATAATGACTGGTAAATTAATAATTATTGACTGACCGAGTAAACTCTGTCTTGATTAGCGAGAATTTTATCTTTACTGAGTTTTGTCTCTCGATTAAACATTTTGCTCTTCAGTTCTAATTTAAATGAACCTATATTCAGCGAATATCTCAGCTCTACATTTCTTCAAAATGATATTTATCGGCAAAGAATTCGTATTTTTAATTCTACATGTTCTTCGACCTTATCCAGAAGGACAACGAACAGCTCCTACAAGTAATTCTCTACACGTATCAGGTAACAATTTGTTTCCAATTTCAAGTTCTGAGATGTGTATGATTTATTCACGTATTTTGATATCCTTACATTATGTGGCACCTTTTCCACTATATCCCGAAGAAAATGATATTCTTTTCATGTGTTTTGCCACCTAAGGACTCTGCATGCCAGATACATCTACCTTTCAAGTTTAGAAGGAGCGACGAAAAGAAGCAAAAGTTAAAAAGACTGAGAAAACAGCACTGAATCGGCTCAAGTTTGTCTATGTTAGCTTTCCTTGCACTTCCGGCTAAAGAAAGATACACTTTCGGACAGAGCATTGCTGAAGGGGTATAGTTATTCACTATTGATATCAGACACAGACTACAATGTTTGGGCAACCTAGTTTATTGACGAACAGAGCGAGACGCTGGCGCTAGATATCCATAAACTAAACCGCTAAGGGTGGTGTGGGCGGGAAAGAGTTGACTCGCTCGAACCTGGCTGAGTTTTAGAGCGATATGAAAGTCGATATACTGAGACAGCGGAGATCAGTGATTGGGGGGAGAGGGATTCTGAGGCTAATACCAATCATCACTCAGGATGATATTTGTACCATTATTGAAAATGCCCACAAATGATTCAAGAGTCCTCTTTAGGATACAAGGTTTGCGATTGCCTTACCTTTTAGATCAAATTTACAAGTGGCCTTAACTCATATTGATCTGTCTAAAAAAATGCGTACTTATTGTGTAATTAAGCCGTTTAAATGTTTTTCAGGAATGGACTAATCCATTGCTCACATGGAACGCCTCTCTATACGGTGGAACGGAGGAAATCAACGTCGATGCGTCTATGGTTTGGGTGCCGGATATTGTGCTTTATAACAGGTTTTTTGTTTATTCCAAATGGATTTTATTGTGATACGCGCAATATCACGTGACGTTGAGATGAGATGGCAATTACATTTTCTTTGCGTAATTACGAGCACCTAACAAACAGATTGCACGTTGGTGTGTGTTTGCCAGTAATAAATCGCAGATGACCTAAAGATGTGGTGAGAACAGAAACTCAACAAACGAGCTGCTAACCGAGTTTATGGTATGAATGCGCAGGCGCAAATTGAACGAACGGGGGAACTGAAGAGACTGCAGTTAGCATAGCAAACGTATCAGTCAGATATATCTCACCTTTTCTTGTTTTGAGTTGAAGAAAATTTGTTTCCATTAAAGCTATTTTTAGGCAATCTGATATAAACTTACAGCAGATTCCAGAACAGATAACTCATAATATTCTTATTACGTTCGCATCAAATTTAGAGAGCTCTGATCTACATTCGGGTGGCAAAAAATTCTCTCCCTTTATCACTTCTCATCAATTTAAACATTGCGTTTGAGACGCTATGCCCCCACAACATGAGATAACTGCCATTTGTATTGTATGTGGTGCTGAGACCCATGCATTTCACTAGCAAGAGCTTGGGACAAAGAAAAAAGGTTCCGCTCAGTATAAACTTCCAAATTAGTGGTTGGATTCCTTATTAGCCGAGCCAACCTTCTCGACAATATACAAATTGCAAATGGTATCATGGCTGCATAATTATCCGAAACTATGTAGTTCTGGTTAATTTAACGCTCTTTAGGGATTGAAGGAGGGCTGTTTATGACTTACAAAATGAAAAAGCTATGGGATAGAATTCAGATGATCTAATGGCAAAATCTGTTAGGATATTACATAATTATGATACCAGATTATCTAACAAAATGACTTATACTATTCCAAATGCCAGAACAAGTTATGGAATCTTCAACATAAGATTTCAGGGTGCTAAAGTCTGGAATGATATAAGTGAAGACATAAAGCTTCTTCCTCTGAAACGTTTTAAGAAGAACCTTGAGCTAATTCTTCTCGACAAATATTAATAATTTTTCCGGCCTTTTGTTGTTTTTTACTCTGATATTCCTTGCTTCCTTGACCTTGTTTTGTATGATGAATGAGTGTGTGTGTGTGTGTTGTGTGTGTTGTGTGTGTTACATCTGACACATAATTACATTAGATAAATCACCTAAGTATAGCTGCCCTTTTTTTCTCGCCCATATGGTTATTTGGGTCAGCTAGTACTCCTTTTTATTATATGGCTGTGTCTCACAAGGACCGGGAACTACCGAATTCACGAATTTGATTGGCTGAAATCAATATTGAAAGCGGTCTAGATTTTCCCATCTAGACCGGCATCTAGACCGGTCTAGAAAAAAAAGGTACAAAGAATTTAAAAAATTGGCATCTAAGATACTGTACCAGCCTCGGTCGCTGGTACAGACCTCACTGCGTTCGGGCTGTACTGGCCACCTCGGTCAAGATTCTCCCATACAGACCTCCCACTCGGTTAATAAGAACTAAATATTCTTTTAAATTTATCATTTTTTTATCAGTATTTTTTGTTGGGTACAAATAAAGTTGTTGTTGTTGTTATTGTTGTTGTTGTTGGCAAAAGTGAGTGAAGACCCGTGAATGTCATTTGCATTTTTTTTCCTCTTTATTCAGCGCAGAGTTTACTTTCTCTGGTGGAACTCACAAGTATAAAACAGATGTCATAATATTTTGGAATGGAAGCACAATTTGGCTTGCACCCGCGATGTTTATCACAGTCTGCCACCTCGACGTGCGGTAAATTTTTCTCACAGGCTTGTTTCATTTGTAACATTTTGGGTGATACTCTAGTGTAAAGACTTACTGTGTTGAACATCCTCCCAGATGAGATCAGGAAAATAGTTAGAGTGTCATAAGAGATTGTTGGCACTATATTCAGGGCATGTAGTGGTACTCGCATCCTGTTTCAGTAAATGATATAAGTTCTTCAAAGCCAGCAATTAAGCATCCAAGTCCCTTCTCAAATATTTTTTCTGCTTATGTTTAAGGTATTTTCCTTTCGACGATCAAAAGTGCCCGATGAAGTTTGGAAGCTGGACCCACGACGAATCACGTTTAGACATGCGCATTCTCACCAATGCCTCCAGTGACGACATCTACACGGAACATGGCGAGTGGCAGCTGCTAGGACTGGAGCAGAAAAGGTAGTGGTAAATCTTATGCTTTAACATAAACCTTTATACCATTAATTTTTTTCTTTTACCATATTTTTTGAGTCTCCTTAAATACGTTCCAAAATGTAACATGTCTATTTTGCCACTATAATGAAACGTTCGAGCAGTTTTCAATTAGATCCTAACGAAAACAAAGCGCATATGGGCTTACGATGCTGAGAGACAAGTTCTTAAATCCGCTTACTTCACGCTCTTAATAGCAACTTTAAGATCAAGTCTAATTTCATTTTCAGGACATCAAAGTTTTACGACTGCTGCCCGAAACCGTACGTGGACATAACATATACTATCCACGTTCGCCGAAAGCCCTTGTTCTATACTCTTTACCTGATTGTTCCTGCCATAATAATCACAGCCATGGTGTTGGTAGGCTTCTACCTGCCGCCAGAGTCTGGAGAGAGGATGCAACTCGGAATAACCGTCCTGTTGGCCATGATAGTGTTCCTGCAGCTCGTGTACCAAAATCTTCCATCGACTTCAAATAGCGCTCCCCTTTTGGGAAAATACTACATTGTCACAATGTTTCTGATCTCACTTTCGCTGGCTGCCACTTGTCTGGTGTTAAACTTTTCCTACGGCCGGCATTGCGATGGTGAAATGCCCATGTGGGTTCGAATGATCATTCTGCATTGTCTTGGTCGACTTTTTGGATCATCGCATAATTCTGTGAATAGAAGGCGAAAGTCGACGAGTGGAAGAACAAACGAATGGAAGGTTGCTGCCAGTATAATGGATAAGTTCTTTATGGCTTTTTTTGCATTCATAATTACTGTCGTAGCGTTGTATTTTTTTTACCAAGCCCCACACTAATAAAATATAGCGTATCACAGGCCATGTAGTCATTCAATACCTACTGCAAAATATGATGGCTTTTTTTATTTTGTTTTTGTTCTTATTTTGTTTTATGAGAAGAAATTTGTTTGTCTCTATGTTTTTCGCTTTTTTTTCTTTTCTCGAGAAAATTGCGTTCTCCAGTGCTAGACTGAATGAAGATTTTCCTTGGTCTAGCCAGACATTTAGCATTGAAGATTCAGAGGAAGCCCGAAAAATGAAACAAATACCTACTCATACAATGATAAAGCAGGGAAATGAAGTAAAGAAAAATGATGCAAGACACAGGATGATGCCGGATGACAGACTTGCTCGACGTTACTCTTCTCAGTCGACAAACTAAGGGTTATTAAGTGATCCTCCAATCTCCTGCTACCACCACCTCCCTAACCCCACCC